ATGGGGATAGAGCGCGTGCGTTACCGACTGCTAGGGAACTAAGCTCCGATTTGACATTAAAGCCCACCACGGCCACTTTGTTGTTTAACCAGACCCACTCTTGTTTTGCCATGTTTTGGGTGGGTCATAGCCGAATCGCCACTTCAAACATTTTGCAAGGCTCTATCGAAACGGAATAAAGCTCCAACTCAATCTTTGACCAAAAAAACGTATTTTGGGCATTAGCAATCTTCGTAGCTTTAAAAATTAATTTTCAACATTGATTATAAAATTTGAAGCCAAAACTCTCGAACAGATCTTGTAGATTAGTGAACATTTATTTTAAGACAAATTGGATAGTTAGAATAATGTGTTATAATATACATTATTTTAAAGCTTGAAATATATATTTTAAAATAATGTGTTATAATATACATTTTTTTTAGAGCTTGAAATATATATATATATTACCATAACTATATGATCAACGCCGAAATGATTGATTTGAAGGTTTCTTGTTGCCAAAACTGCAATTTTCGATGAATTTTGAGGTGAGGCTTTACTTAAACATTTTCCTTTAATTAAAGGATGTGGTTTCATTAAAGTCCAATCCTTATGAGAAAAAGAAAAGCCCCATCTTGAAATCTTGTCCAAAAAATGCTTAGGGCGTCGGAAATCTCTAAGATAGCTCTATTTCTACTACCGATTATGAAATTTGGAGCTCAAAAAGTAGGACAGATCTTATAGATCAGCGAACAATTTGTACCTCAAAAAATGAGATCAATTTTATAGATCAGTGAACACTTGAAGATGAATGGTCTAAATAACATCTTACAATATACATTGTTTTTAGGGCTTGAAATCCTAATTTTTTTCACAATCATTATAAATAAGGGTCGAGATGATTGATTTGAAGATTTTTTTATGTTGGAACTATAATTTTAATGAGTCTTGAGGTGACGCTTTACTTTTTTTTCCATATAGCATTGGTCTTATGTTAATCTTTCCCTAATTTAAACATAGATAAACCCCAAACCTCAATGTTTATTCATATATCTCATCTAGTGTTTTAAAAACCCTGGATTGGTGAGGCAGGTCGCTCACCCACAAATCCGTGGCAAATCATTAGTTCGGTGATCCAGATCAGGTATGCATTGATCCGAATTTGTGATTCATAACTAAATAAAATACAATAAAAAAATAAAATATAGTTTTATGGGACGGAGATTTAGAGGTGGCATAAAAAATTATGAAAGGAGCTTAAAAAAATGAAAAATATAATATGTAAGGGGGTTTAGGAGGAACTGGCCAAGACCCACCATTCTGGAACCAGTTTGGCTCTGACTGATTCCCATCTAAAAGCATAATCTAGATAAAAGTTGTTGAACTTTAAACTACGGAACTGATCTAATATGTGGAGTATGGGGCCTTTAGGCCGCTCCCTTGACTGAGAGTACGAGGGTAACTCAATTCTAGTGACAACAAATTTTTATTTCGTAATTGAAGTCGCTAGATTAGTCTAAGAAGGGTGATGACCTTAAAATTTCCCTTAACCCATCCCATGCACAGGTAAAGGGGTTGGGTTATGTTAGATATGTAGAAACATAAAATTTTGCCAAAACTTATCATGAATCTTAAACATTTAGAATATGCTTATGCTAGGGTGTTCCCTAGAAGCAATGCACTATACCGGAAAACCATGTATATTGAGAAATGAGCAAGGGGTAGCACGGCATTCTCTAGAAGCAACACATTGTACCGAACCCGGGTATATTTAGAAATGAGCAAGGGTTAGCTAAGGCATTCCCCAAAAGCAATGCATCAGAGTATCCCCGGTTGCAGTGAAAAATAGGCAAGGGTTTCCACGACATCTTGAATGAGCGTGGGTAAAAAAGGTAGTCCAAGAGAATAGGATTCATCTAGCCACATGGAATGTAAGAACACTTACAGGTAAGAGTATTAAGTTAGCTGAAACAAGGTGACGAATGAAAGTAAAAATAGCTTATCTATAAGAAACTAAATGGAAATGAGAAAAAGCTAAAGAAATAGATGGGTATAAACTTTGCTATAGAAGAAAAGATAATAATAGAAATGACGTAGGCATAATTGTAGATAAAGATTTAAAAGATAAAATAATTAATGTCAAAAGAATAGGTGAAAGGCTCTTATTAATTAAACTGTATTAGGAAAGAGATAATAACGTAATTAGTGCTTATGCACCACAAGTAGGATTAGATGATAGAATTAAGACGTAATTTAAGAGAACATAGATGAAATAGTCTAAGACATACTAAATGGAGAGAGGATCTTTTTAGGAGGGGACTTAAATGGTCATATAGGAAGGATAGTAGAGGATATGAAGAGGTAAATGGGGGATATGGGTTTGGGGAAAGAAATGAGATGGTTGAGACTATTCTAGAATTTGTTATGGCCTACTACCTAGCAATAACAAACACTTATTTTAAAAAAGCAAAATGAACATTTAATAACCTATAAAAGTAGATCACATAAAAACCAGATAGACCTCTTCCTAGTTAAGAAGGTAGATTGACTATCATATAAAGACTACAAGGTTATCTCAGGCGAGTGTTTGACTACCCAATATAGGCTCGTAGTTATGGACGTCTACATAAACACATAGAAGAGAGGGGTGAAAGTAATGGGGGTCCAAGAACTAGGTAGTGGAATCTAAAAAATAAAAAAAACATATTATTTAAGGATAAAATAGTTGAAGAGGGAAAATGAATATGATGTCAATGTAATATGGAATGAGATGGTTGATTGTATCAAGAAAGTGGCAAAAGAAGTTTTAGGAGAATCTAGAGGGAAAAAAGGTCCTATAAAAAAAAACTTGGTAGTGGAGTGATGAGGTTCAGAAGGCCATTAGCGAAAAACGATCTTGTAATAAAAATTGACATTGTAACGACATGAATATAAAAATACTAATAAAAATACTAAACAAATAGCTAAACTTAAGACATATGATAATCTATATAATAAACGTGGAGCAAGAGAATGTGAAAAAGATGTCTCAAATTAATAAAAATAAGAGATAAAAAGTGTAGGAATCTAAACTATATTAAATGCATTAAGAGTATGGATCAAGGGTTTTGGTGAAATATGATGAGGTCAATGCAAGGTGGAGAGTTTATTTATTAAATAACGAATACAATGAGAACATAGGAGTAAAAGGAACTGACAGTACAAATGAAGGTGGAGGTGATTGAGAGAGAGAGAGAGAGAGAGAGAGAGAGAGAGAGATCAAGAGTAAGAGAGAACGAGTGAGAGGAGGAGAGAAGGAAGCGGACTACGCCGTGACTGGTGAGAGAGAGAGAGAGAGAAGAGA